CACATCTTTGTATATTACACATACTACTGCAAGGATGAAACTAATCTCTGCAGGAGACAGAGTATTCTTGGGGGCTGGTCTAGACTCCTGCAGGAAGTAGGAAGTGGCCCAAAACTGGTTCCCTGCCAGACCAGTGCACAATGCAATTCTTCAACCACATCTTCATATATAAGAGCACTTAGCACCAGGGGGGAAAACCTCAAAAACAAACCGAAGGGGAATAATAAAATCACAGAACCCACCCACAATTTTCCACTCGGGAAGCAGAATGAACCACATAGGACTGATGCTAGTCACTTTACTTAATGTATTGTCCAGAAGGCGTGCAGTAACCATGGCGATGGGAGCAGTGTCAGAACCCGAGTAGATGAGAAAAGGGATAATGGAAGTCGTTTTCTATAACCCCAAATTCCCTCTCTCATAGCTTCTTTGGACTAAGTACTATGCTTTATCCACTCACCAAACAGGATATTGCTAGAGATAGGTTAGTTAAAACTCAGGATAGTTTTACAAAGCTAAAATTAAGGGGGTTCACATTTAGGTCCCCTTTTATATGAAATGTCCAATGGGCCTAATTCAGTAGTGGCTCAGTTATGCAGTAAGATGAAGTCACTGCTTTCTGCATTCACTATAGAAATCCAGATAAAGCTCTCTCTGTTATGTATGCCACAATGCAGACCAGGATGAGGTCTGTTGCTGGTGGCCATCTTCGCTTGCTCATGATCCAGCAGCAGTCTGTTGCCAGGCAGCCAGTCTCCAATTGCAGCTCGCTAAAACATTCCCATGGAGTCTTGTCCATTAAGTCTGAAATGGACATACTGAATTTAGAATGCACAGAACAAATTTTTCAGAAACTAAGTAGTTAATGAATTTTGTTATTACTTGGTCTGGCTGATTTTCTTCTTTGAGATAGGCTCTTATACTGGGCTTGTTTTCATTGAGATAATCCATTAAATACAAGGCTTGACATGAGGAATCCTTCCAAATTTTGGATTCTTGGCAGTATAGTGTTTCTACTGAAAAACAAAATTAGATGAAGCCCAAGTACTAAGTCTTTGGAAAGATAAAGCCATAGGGATTACACTAATGTGTTCACAGTGTCCCTTTCCTTTAAGTAACATTTAAAAGAAGATCATTGGAAAATATGACCAAGGCTGATGAGGATGATCAAAATCCAGCAAGATCAACTCCAACAGTGCATTGAGAGGTGCTCTTAGAGGCAGCTGGTGTCACTGCTTCTAACTGTGTCACCTAGCCTCAAGGGATAGGGTAATATTCTATTTTGCTTTCCAGAAGTAGGTCTGAGGCTGCAGATTTCAGAGCCTGACAAACTTCCCTAAGGTCCCCAGCCCTAACATTCACAGTTTTAATTTTAACAGCTAAATTCAAGGTCTCCACCTCTTGCCCAAGAGCCTGCAAGAGATAGCTCAGAAGCAGAGGAACTGGAAAAGGCCTTAACTGTAAAGTTTACAGACAAAGCCCTGCGCGGATACAAAATTTGTAACTACTTCCACAAAAATGAGCTGAGGATATCTGCATCCTCATCCACGGATGCAGATACCTGTAGATTTAAAGCAAATATCCACAGATTTGTAGGGCTCTACTTATGCAACCCCTGAAGAGCAGCAGCCAGTATGCATCAACATGCGGTAGGTTAGAACCAAGTTAGTTTTAATTTCTTAATTCTATTGCAATGTGCTTTGAAGCTGCTTTTGAATACTATACAGCTAGATCTTACCCTGTATGCAAAATGGCTTCAATTATTACTTTTCTATAAAAACAAAGCAGAAAAAAAAAATCACAGATTTGCATGCATCAGGAAGCTGAAAGTTAGTCATTGATCCATATGTAGTCAGTCCACGTTATGCTCTGATCAGTTGGCTTGTTGCTACTTTATGCTCTTCCTTTTGTGGTATATTATAATGTCATTGTATTTCAGTTGTGTGTTTAGCTCACCAAGAACTTCAAGGAGGGGTGGTGAAGCTGGCTAAGTAATAAAAGTAAGTAGGGAGGGAGGACAAACGATAAAATCAGTTAAATCAGTTAAAGAACACAGTATTGAACAGAAAAATGTCCCACTGATCTAATAAGAGAGCTACAATATATTAATAACAGCAGCAATACTATTAGCATAGTTATCCCCTTATTAAATAGAGCCACAGCTGGAAAAAAATTGAAAGAATAATTGAAATTAGGGATGAAAAAATTATCTAGATCTGTTGTCTGCTACCACAGAACTGTTTTTATAGTAACTTTATTTTTTTTTCTTTTTAAAAGAACTTGGGAGTCAGATTCTCTGCTGTAACCAAAACTTTAAGTTCTGCTTTTCCCCCCTGACTGCTGCTCTAACTTGTACCAGTTTCATATGCCCTCAAGGACTCATAATAGTGTCTTGGATCTTTGCTGGACAGACCTGCACCAACCCCAGCTCATTGTACTAACCTGGCCACCGTAGCTCTATGTCATTTGAGAAATCCCTCCTCTCATGGGTGGGAGACTATATAAACTTTGCAGTGGCAGACAGGCAATAACACAGCCTGAAGTCTGGCTGTCTATGTTTATGAACAAAAGGCTGTTGTAAAGATGACCATTTCCAGCACAGATATGATGATATATCACACATTAAAACTCTTGATTTGTTTTCTTTCCATAACAAGATCATGAATGAGGAAGAAAATTTCTGATAGGGAGAGATGCTACAAGTAGTAGGCATAAAAAGAAGAGGATAGGATTAAGGGAAACGAGAAGGGTATGCTGATGTAAAGACGGGGCATTACATAGAGGTGTGATCTCTGCTCACATATGGGCTGAATGAAATGGGACATTTCAAGACACATTTGAATCCTGGCATTAATGTGCAAGTGGGGAGAGAGTGTACAAGGAACCGTCCCCATGCAGGGATTGAACACAATCCCAGTTTGGCATTCAGGGCATACAGACTAACACCATAAGGGGCAAAGGAAGGACGGAGAGATGGCGAGATTATTGCTCATCTTGAATGGAGATTTTCTCCATGCATGCATTTTAGCATAGGGCCAGAACCTCAAAATCTTTAGGGGCCTAACTACAGTTGATTTCAATGCAAGTTAGTTACATAAGAACATAGGATCAGACCAAAGGTCCATATAGCCCAGTATCCTGTCTGATGACAGTGGCCAGTGCCAGGTGCCCCAGAGGGGGTGGACCAAAGACAATGATCAAGCAAATTGTCTCCAGCCATCCTTCTCCAGGCTTTGACAAACAGAAGCCAGGGGCACCATTCCTTAGCCCCTGGCTAATAGCCTTTTATGGACCTAACCTCCATGAATTTATCTAGCTCTTTTTTAAACTGTTATAGCCCTAGCCTTCACAGCCTCCTCTGGCAAGGAGTTCCACAGCACTTTCTTTTATTTGTTTTAAACCTGCTACCCATTAATGTAACCCATTAGTTACTAAATATCTTTGAAAATCTGGGCTCCATTGTCTGCCAAAGCTCCTGCAGCAGCTGTGCATTTCTGCCCCATCTCCAATTCAGGGCATTAGACAAACCCTGCTTAGCAGGGCATATGACAAAACTGATTAGCACCACGAAGTTACAGCCCATCCTTCCAGCAAGCTGTCACTAAATCAACATTCTAAAGCAGGATCTATTCAAATGTATTAACCACAGTTTCTAAAAATGAGCATAAACACTAATAGGCAGACTTAGTCAGAACTTCCATGTCAATATTAGAAGTAATACTTCTTATAAGGCTGCCAAATGTTCTGTTAGTCTGGGCATGAAGAAACCCTATGAAATGCAGACACCATGCTGACCACTGCTCTTTACTACCCCACACGGATAAGCACCTGGACCCGATCTGAATGCTGTCTAACACAAACACTGGGCATTCTTTGCTTCTGAACTCCCCAATGCTTTACTAATCATGACTCAAGACCCAATACAACTTTGAAGTAGCTGTTCATAAATTGTTTGTCAGCCAAAAACATCTTTTATTCTTGGATTACAACCATGCACATTCATAACCTTCTGATTGTGTTAAGACTGTTGAAATCTTTGAATGTTGTTCATATTGCAACACAAAACAAAGGCAAGTTTTGTGCCTTTGTTCCAGCTCTTGGTTGCACAGAAGGACAGACTACATGATCTAACGGTCCCTTCTGGCCTGTGAACATTTCTTTTCTTCACTTCCGCTTCAGCCATGTTTTACTGACAGGGAGCAAACTGTATCCACTGAAACATGTCTCATGGGGCTTGATTTTGCATCTCACCTAGAAATCCCATGAGTGTTTTGTGTGCTCAGCTTTCTGTTAAGCTAAAGATATAGTTTCTCTTGCTGATGGGTAGTTTGTTCACCAGCTAGCCTATTACATTTCACCCTTTTGGGGTAGCAGAGTCTCAAGCCTTCTTCTAATCTTTTCCCTGGGTCACAGCTCTTCCTCAAGCATCTGTCAATCTTCTCCATTGTACAACTGAAGTCTCCCTTACTGGTTATTCAGTGAGAAAAGGAAGCTCCTCTTCCACAGGCCTTGGCCCCTCAAGCATGAAGTAGGGCAGGTCTGACCAGTAGCTTGTCCCACTGAAAATATTTCCTTTGTTCTGCTATAGACACTCACTTCTTGGGGTTATTTAGCCTATGAAATTAACCTGATTGTCTTCTAAAGCCTTTTCCCAGGCCCTTTGACAGGAGACACACAGAGCACCACCTTCTTTCCTAGTTTCTCTCTTGCTCCTTCAGCAAGTCTGGCTCCCTCTCCTATCACTCCTACACTAAGGAAGAGAACTCTTTATATCCCCCGACTCTTCCCCAATATGCTTTGCTGCACGGCCTAAAACTCACTGGTGTCCCTTGGAGCCACAGTGCCAAGAATGCCTTATTGGAGAAATAGTGTAACTTTTGTTCCTGAGGCCTGCACCATGCAGTGTGCAACAGGAACACAGGATCAGGTCCAATATCTGTATTTGGTGTGGATTATATATTGTGAATTTGCAGAGAGAAGAGAGGCTCTTAATAGAGATATAAACTTTTATTATAAGATTAGCATTATCTTGACAAATCATGACAGTTTCTGCACAAATCTTGCATAATCGCTGATATTAATCTCCCACACTCACATTACACAGATCTTTCAAGCTGCTCTGTAAAGAAAGTGTTACAAAACATCTACTTTACATATACATGAAAACTTGGGCATAGATTCTTTTTTTCCATTTGGACTTCTCAGCAGCCTGGAAGCTGAACTGGGTATAATGTTTGATATAAACGCTTAACCTTCACATTTTAGATGGCCTCGCCTTTTGAAAGAATAGACATTGTGATACTTCTGCTCAACCACACTCCCCGGAGTCACTCAGATGATCCAGCACAAAGACTGATTAAGCCGGGATTTAAAAATGGTGGCGCCCGGCTTATGCAAATGAAGCCTGGGAAATTCAAATCCCGGGCTTCATTTGCAAGTGCGGTATGCCTACATTACCCTCCTAGTTCGAACTAGGAGGGTAGTGTAGACATACCCTTTGATATTATCTTCAAGTGCCTCATCCAGCATATATTTACTACCAGGTGAAGTACTTAGTATGCGAATAAACCCAAAGAAGTCAATGGACACACTTGTGGTAATTATAGTTTTGCATACTAGTATTTGAAAGATCAAGCCCCAAGTTTGCAATCTACTGCTTAGGATACAAGACAATTTACAGTATTAACACATTCCTTCCAACATGGGAAGAAAACATTTCTATATACAAGAAAGACATAATTAGTCACACACCTCCTGATTTTTACAATTCCTTATTCATTCTTGAAAGTTTCCCTGCTTTAACATATGTAGAAATAATAAATACTTATGTAGACATCAAGAAAACCCAAGGCATTTAACATATAGAAATTATGAGCTAATCTGAGAACAATTAACACAAGTGCCCTGGATGTCTGTAGGAAGCAACAGCTGATCCATATATCTGCTGTAGAACTGCAACTTCAGAGGACAGATCCCTTATACTGTGCTGCTTCACATCTGAAATGATAATAAAAATCTCAAGATGATCATCCCTATTAAGATTAGTCAACATCGACCATTAGCATACAAACAAAGTTGTTGTTATGGTGCCAAAATCAAAACCATTGAAATTACAGCTGGAATGTTTATTCTCAATTGCTTACTTTTGTAGGGACTGACAGTATTTGTTCTCCAAGAGCAATATTTGATCAAAGGCCTCACCTGAGAATAAGGACTTGCTTCCTATTATAAAATATTAATTGACTAGAAGAGTTATCCAGCGTTGCTCAAGTCTTTAACTCAAATACATTTTGTTTTTCTTCATTCAAATGATTGTTCAATAGTGGGGATGGGTTTGAGGAGTTCAGTATGCAGGCTGCCCTGGGGAGAGAGGACAACCCTAAACTTCTCTGGCCACAGTGGATTGGGGCCAGGTGAGAGTTGCCTGTCCATGGCCACTGCAGCTGCAGTGGGAACAGCCAAGGGTGCATTTTCCCCCAGCTGGGGGACATTCAGACACAAAGACAGATAAACTCTCTGAAATATATGGTAGATAGCTGTCTCTTTCTCCATCCCTCCCTCCTGCTGCATCAATGGAGTTATAGCTGTCCCAGTTCCCATCTCTGGTCCTTTGCTGCCCCTCAGCATAATTCTATAGCATATTCTATAGCATAATTCCCTCTTATCAGACCCCTCCCTTTCTATTGTATAATAAACATTTGAATTCCATGCACGTCTCATTGTTCTGGCACAACCAAAACCTTGCTTTATGTTAGGATAAGAGGAAGCTGCATACCAAGTTTGGTGGTCCTAGCTTTTACCCGTTAGGAGTTCTTGAACAAACCGACTCACAGAAGGACAGACAGACAGAGAGGCTCACATTTCTAAAATATACAGTAACATTTCAACTGTGTGATAATTTCTTTCACAAATTTGCATATTTGACGACAAGACAGATTTGGGGTAAAAAATTTGCTCCTTTACCTCATTTGCCTATATCAGGAGCACACTGGTGAAATCAAGCTGAGTACCATGCTGAGCCCCAGCCTCCAAGAGCACAGTGTTCAAATTTTCCATTATGCCCATACAAATAACCGATTCTATGAATTGTTGAGGATCTGCTTCTGCTACCCTAATGGAAGGCAATGTGAGTTTTGCTACTTCAGTGCAAACAGGATAGACCATTCTGTATATTTCTCATTTGTTGTTTCTTTCCCTTAACTCACTCTGGGCCTGAGATGTTCTGAGCACCAACTCCCACTGGCTTCAAGAGGAGGAGAGAACTCTTCTTCCTCTCAAGATGAACTTTGCAGGACTACGGTTTCTTCCCCAGAAATGGTCCCACATTAATATATTGTTCACCTGTTGGTACTGTAATTAATATATTGTTCACCTGTTGGTACTGTCGGCTTTCTTTTTGCCGACTAGAAATAGAAACCGCTTCTTATGTGTGAAAGGTTTATGCATTTTGAGCTATGTACTAAATGTATTTAGTATTTCCAATTCTGCTTAAAGTTTCATTTTGTCTCCTTCTGTCTGCTTGCTGTCCATATCTTCCTGGAAGCTTTGGTGCCTTTTTTGGGTACTTATTGCCTGGTAGTCTATGTATCTTATATTCTCCAGAATTGTATATTGACCTGTTAGGAAGTATATTTTTAAATTTTGTTTGAGGTTAGCTATCTGTACCAATGCTGCTAATTCCCAGCTATCCTAATATTGTACATCATTGATTGGCTGCTAGCCTAGCTCCCCAGAAATGGCTGCATTTCAGTGCTCCGGATTGTTTGAGTCCTATTCCTGCAATCAGATTCATGCAGTTAGACCTCTGCACACATTCAGAGCACCAGTGAGTCACACACGTGGATCTGACTATAGGATCATGGTGGTTCTTATAAAGATCTGTATAGTGAAAAGGACTGTATGAATCTATAACATGCTTGCATTATACACATGAATTATAGAATGAAAATCTAACTTTATGTGGTAAGACTGTCCAAGCCCTATGTACACTACAAAAGCCACATATATGCCTGTAAAAATATTAATTTTACTTAGCACCTTCATTAAGTAACTGTAGTTCATTACTGCTTCCTGTGGAAGCTGCTGTAACTTTGATAAGACAGGAGAGCCTTAAATGACATGACATATTTATTGAACTGTTCCTCCCACCCCCCGCAAACTCCTAGTGTTTTTTCCCTGAACAACCAATAGCTGTTTATTTGCACATCTTTGCTATTTTCCCCCACCTCTTGAATGCTTAATGCTTACAGCCCATAAGTAAATGGAAATAGCTTTGCATATTCAGGTCCTTATATCTTCCCCATACCGATTCAAAAGTCTGCATTCGGGAGAGAAGTATGCAGAGGTATTAGAAACCAACAGCAAAACAATGAGTTGTCCTCTGGCACCTTAGAGCCACAGCAGGGAACTTTTCTGGGTCGGGGGCCGCTGACCTACAGAAAAATCAATCAGGGGCCACACACAAGTGAAAAGCAAAGAAAGAAGCCCCTGAATGAGAAGGAAAAAAGGAACTCCTCACATTCCCCTCACACACCAGAGCCTGGGGTGGGGACCAGATTTTGTACGCTCCAGCTCTGTGGGTGGCTGGCAGAGGGCTGGAGCACCAGCACAAGTTCCCAATGTGGGGGGCTCTCTGAGTCTCAGAGGCCAGATCCAGGCAAGTGTGGGGCCACGTCCAGCCCCCAGGCTTGAGGTTCCGCACCCCTTCCTTAGAGACTAACAAAAATATATATAGTATCATGAGCTTTTGTGGGTAACACCCACTTCATCAGATGAGCTGGAGTGGAAATGACAGAAACCAAATTATGCCTGACAGAGGGAAAAATACTTGTCCATTGTAGGACCATTATAAAGCCAGTTTCCACTGCCTCTAAGAACTGCATTTTTACATCAAAGGTTAAGAGTGGGACACTTCCAGCCCACTTAATTAGCCTCATTAGCACCAGTCCTATAATTGATAGGTACAGGTTGAAACTCTGTAATCTGGAGTTCCCTGGCCTGGCATCGTTGGGTGACCCCGTGAGAGCACTCATGGGGATAAGCCCTTGGGCTGGGGAGAGGAGCATTGCCGAACTAGAAGGCCAAGATGGAGCCCCAGGAGCAGCAGAGTGCCAGGAGGAATGTAGAGCCCCCAGTCCCTGGGGGGTGGGGTGGAACAAAGCTTCCTGTCATGGTGGAGGGCAGCAGCAAAGCCGCATGGGGGGGAAGTGCGGAGCCGCGGGGCAGTAACTGATCCCCTAGGTGGCGGCAGAGCCACTGGGGACCAAGAGGCGGCCCCGGTCACCAGCGGGAGCACAGAGCCCCAGGTGGCAGCGAAGCCACTGAAGAGAGTGGAGCTCTGGTTGTCAGTGGAGTCTCCAGCCGCTGTGGGGAGAGCAGAGTCCTGGCAGGGAAATGGAGCCCTGAGTGGCTGCTAAGCCATGGGGAGGGGGGAAGTAGAGCTCCCTTTCCCAGTGCTGTGAGGAAAGCAGTGTCCTGGGTGGCAGTGTAGCTTCCAAGGGAAAAGATGAACCCTGGGGTGGGAGGTCCAGGGAAAGTGGCTGCTCCCGCACCACAGCAATGACCTCCCCTAGTCCGACAAAGTCACTGGTTCGGGATCAGTTAGGTCCCGAAGGTGCCAGACCAGTGAGATACAACTGGTATTTTCCCCCTCTGTTATAAATAACTTGGTTTCTGTTATTTCCTCTCCAGCTCACCAGATAACGTGGATTTTACCCACAAAACCCCATGATCCTATATATTTTGTGAGTCTTTAAGGTGCCACAGGACTACTTGTTGTTTTTAAAAATAAAGACTGACATGGCTACCCCCCTGAGACTTGTCAACAACAGAACAGCTCATTAAAACTGTGCTGTTGTGGAAGGGGGTGGTGCCATTTGGGCAAGTTTGGACAAACAAAAAGAAAAGTGTGACAGCAGCCATTTTGGGGGAGGCGCCACAAAGAAGGATTTAAGACAAGATCTAGATGTCTCGCAAGGTAAGAAATTCTCCAGTCCAAGATTTGTCTGTCCCAAAACAAAGGAATGGCCACAAAGGAGTGTAACTCCCGCTCCAGTAAACAAACTATGGAGGTGGTTGGAGAACCACCATTCACTAAGGCTGATCTGAAGGTCCTACTGCAAGAAATCAAAAAGATGAACTAAGGAAATGAGAGAAGAGTTCCATGCTTATTTAAAAAAATGAAATTATAATAGCAGGCATGTATAATTTTAATTAAGGGCTCCTTCAAAATAAACTCCCAATCAATGGCAAGCTTCTTTTTATTTTTAATTTTTAAGGGACTTCAGAAGGTTTAAGGAAGGGGATATTATTCTAGGGGATTTTAACAAAGTGCTTAATTCTACTTTAGATCAATCATATGTACAAAGAGGCATTTGCGAATAGCAAGTGCAAATTTGTTCAAATAATGAGAAAATGAGGACCTGGGTAGATGTCTAATGGTAAAAGGAAACCTGGGTCTTATTTCAGAATTTATACAATTTTTGTTTCCTGAAACATGGCTAATTTGGTCAAAAATCCTAAACGAGGAATTATGACTTGGTCTGATCCTGTCCTTTGCATATGTTAATGTAAAAGATTAGTACTCAGTGGAAAAACAAAAGGCCTAATAGTACAACAGAGCATTGTTAAGATCAGTAAGTGTTTTAGGGATATTGGAAAGGCAGTAATGTGAGGGTATAGCATCAAACTCTAAAAGATGAGAACTCTTGAAGATAGGAGTTTGGTTAAAGAACTTTCTGTTTGGAAAAGTAAACATAATTCTACAGGATCTAAAAAAAAAGCATATAAGAAAATACATGAGAAAAGAGTGACGATTAATCTGTTAGAAAGAGGAAAAGCTGAGCAGACACATAATAAACAACAATAATATGAAAAGGGCACTAAAGCTGATAGGGTTTAGCCAGAAATTTAACAAAGTAACAGGATAAATCAGCTGTCCCTCTGATAAAAAGGGAGATTAGTTACTGGCATCAAAGATCTCGGAAACATCTGCTAACTTTTTTCATACTTGGTTCACTTCAGAACATCTAAATCCTGAACTTATAAGTAGATAGCTGAGACGTATGACAATGTCTCAGAGGACAATGGGGCAGTTCTTGATAGGCAAATTTCTGCAGAGGAAGTTGAAGTTGCAATTAAGAATTTAAAATCCAATAAAGCTGCAGGTCCCAATGGGTTTTCTGGGGAGTATTAAGGAGTTCTAAAGTAATTGTTGGTCCTTATTTTAACTAAACTGTTTAATAGTTTAATAAATATCGCAGGGAATGACATTCCAGATTCATGGAAAGAGGCATAACTGAAGAAGAAAGACATCTTACCAAGTTTGCATCATACAGACCTGTTTTTTTAAACTAATGTGGATGTTAAAACATATGCCCAGGTGATAGCAAATAGATTGAGTGGCATCTTGTACAAATATGTGCATCGTGACCAATTAGGTTTGTTGTTGACACACATCTGTCGGATAATAGCAGAAGAACTCTGAATTGTCTCTACAATATTTAGCCTAGCCATTCTTCCTCTACACTGCTTTCTTTGGACTCAGAGAACCTTTGACTGGCTGGAGTGGGAGTATCTCTGGATAGATGTTTTTTAAGTTTCCTTTTGGAAATCAGTTTTATATGGGCATATTGCTCCTATATACTCATCCTCCCAAATCAGCTTTGATTAATGGCCATCAATCCCCACCTTTTAATTTTAGAACTACAAAACAGGGTTGCCTGTTACCTCCCATGTTGTTTGCTTTGGCAACAGAGCCATTTGCAATAAATGTTTAGAAACAGCCCCTTGGTGAATGATTTAGATGATGGCATAGAGAGTATGCTTATAAAGTTTGCAGATGATATCAAGATGGGAGGAGTATCAAGAAAGCAGCATAGAGGAAGAATGGCTAGGCTGAATATTGTCCAAATGCTTTGGATGATTGGGTTATAATTCAAAATGATCTGGACAAACAGGAGAAATGGTCTGAGGTAAATAAAGCATTTTTCCCTGCTACTCTATGCTGATTAGGTCCCATCTGGAGTATTGTGTACAGTTCTGGGCACCACAAATTAGAGAAGGTCCAGAGAAGAACAACAAAATGATTAAACATCTAGAAAAAATCACCTAAGAAGGAAAATTGAAAGAATTGTGTTTGTTTAGTTTGGAAAAGAGAAGATTGAGAGGGGACAGGATAACAGCTTTCAAGTACCTAAAAGGCTGTTAACAAGGACAAGGGAGAAAAATTATTCTCCTTAAACTCTCATGATAGGACAAGAAGCAATGGGCTTAAATTGCAGCAAGGGAGGTTTAGGTTGGACATTAGGAAAAACTTCCTAATAATCATTTATTCCTAAACACTGGAATAAATTAGCTAGGGAGGCTGTGAAATCTCCATTATTGGAAATATTTAAGAGCAGGCTAGACAGACATCTGTAAGGGATGATCTAGACAATGTTTGGTCCTGCCATGGTAGTCTCTCAGGCTTCGTCTACATTACATGTTTTGTCAGAAGAGGCAATGCAAAATGAAGTGCTGATTAACATTTTGTCACACTTCATTTGCATAATCTATTCCGATCCATTTTTGTGCAAGAGGATTTTGTGCAAAAACATGCAGTGTGGGCATGTCCGTTTTGCACAAAAAACCTTTTTGTTCAAGATCCTTATACTTCTTCTGGAGAGGTTTTTGCACAAAATGGACATGTTCACACTGCATGTTTTTGCGCAAAACTCTCTTGTGCAAAACCGGATTGGACTAGATTATGCAAATGAAGCACAACAAAATGCTAATCAGCGCTTCATTTGCGTTGCCTCTTCCGACAAAATACGTGGTGCAGACATAGCCTCAAGGTCTCTTCCAGTTCTAGTGTTCTATAAATCTATGAAAAGTATCAAAATACTTTCTGGCATTAATCAAGGGTGGACTAGTGGGGCGGGAGAAAGCTTGGGGAAAGAGGCAAGGTGGCTGCAGAGCAGCTGTGGGCCAGGAGCACAGCCCTGAAGGAGTACACAGAGCTCCACAGCCACTGGACTGCACTTCCGACCTCCACTGCTGGCTGTGAGAATCTGCAGCCACTCTACTTCATCCCCAAGTCCCCCCTCCCTAGTCTTCATTGGGTCAGGCCCCTTTCCTGCCAGTAGCTGTGGGGCTACGCTCCTGGTGGGCTCCACTATCACTCTGCTTCTTCCCCCAAGTGTCCCTCCTGTTCCCACTACTCCCCTGCCCTCCCTGAACTTGAGCCCCACAAATGAGTTATTTGCAGGGCTCCAGAAGCTGTTACAGGGTGGGGGAGGAGTTGCTGAGTGCAGGTCCTGTTTTTTTCCTGTGAGTGCTTCAGCTTGGGAGCGCCCACCAGGATGCTGGACCACAGATGCTGCTGAATAATGGAAGTCCAGACTATAGAAGTCCAACCTGTAGTAGCCGGTAGAATTATTTCAGCACAATGCAGGGTTGTCTCTTATTTTACTAGAAACTTACCACATGGCAACAGTCGCAGTCCATAGAGAAATCTGGACTTTTGGGGTACATGAGCAGCAAAATAGCAGGCCAGAGCAATGGAGTAAAATTCTAATCTTGCTTTTACCATGTGGAAAAAAAATCAACTCATTTGTGATTCTAGTTCATGAAAGTTAAAGCAAAATGGCTTTAAGGTTCTTACTGACAAGTCATTAGTTTTTTCTGCTTATGGTTCTTTGCTTTTTGTTTTAGCTGAATTGAGCGATGCTAATGATAACTGATATTAATGAAAGTTTCAGAAAACAGAATGAAAGAGTAAACATACATGTTTATTGCCCAGATGCGAAGATTCGTCATGTTGGTGAGTTCTATACTTTCCCTCAGAGGAGTGCTCACCTAACAAAGAGAAGGTACATTTTGATCAATTAGGCCTAGAAACATAATTAGAGACAAGTGCAGCAAGAATACATCAGTCTGCTTTGCTGAGCTACCCTGGTTTCTTTGTCAGAACTATATTACATGCAACATTCTCCATTCCATTCCATACTGTGGATCTCCACTTGGATAGTCTGTCTTCTCTGTAGCTTCACTTCAGAAAAACAGGGATGGACTTAAGTATGCATTTAAGGGTTTCCTGAATTGTGGCCTAAGTGCTCATAAGTTCCATAAAGGTCTGTTTTTCCAGTATATCCTATTTCTCTATGCTATTTCCATTAATGTCAATGGGAGTTCTATGCATGCAGGTGGAACAGATTATTGGGGTCAAGGTCTGAGTGGGGCTAAAAGGGAACTAAACTTTTAAATATGGTGAGCTCCATGTAAGCAAAAACTGGTGTTATGAAACACAAATATTAACTGAGTGCCTTTCTGTCCACTTCTCAAAGAGAATTTCTTACCAATACAAGAGTCAATTAAGAGACACATGAAGTTAAAATACAATGAAGTTTGAAACATTTCAGTAAAAATGTACATTTATCATGGTTACATATGGTATAAACATGTCAGACAATAAAAACCAGAGGAGCAATGAATCCACTACATTCTATTTAACTGAAAACTAAATTGTGGCTAATTTTAAATGAATAACTGATGTTCTCAAATGACCTTAAATGAGCAGCAATATATACCCTACAATAGAGTGCATCTCCAGAGCTCAGTGGAAAAAGACCTTGGCATCTGCTGGAATTCTGTTAGAACTGGTTGAAAAATCCAAAAGTATTTTTTAATTAAATTTATTTTCCTTTCAAATTGTTTCAAATTGAAACTTTTTTTGATTTGGACTTTTTTTTTAAAGTCCAAAATGTCTATCAAAAACAATACAAATGTAACAAAATGATTATCAGCAAATGTTCGTTTAATCCTCCCTCCCAGCTGTAGTTAAAAAAAAAAACCCACAGCCCCAAAAAACAATACCGGGAACCATTTCAATAGCTTTTTACTGTACAGATTTCAGGGGTAAGGGGCAAGGGAAGGAGAAAAGGGAAATATTATAAGGGAAAAAAGGTCCAGTGTCTTTTTTGTAAAAAAAAAAAAAAAAAAAAAAAAGAGTACTTCAACTCTATCAAAAATGTTTGTGGCAATTTTTATGTTTAGAAAAATGCCAAAAATATCAACCGACACTAGATGCAGTACAGTTTTGTCCCAACCAACTCTACTGATTTTCGAGGACCGTGGCTTGTGTCTTTATTGTTCATAATAGTCTCTGCCCCCACTCCATCTTTTCTTTTCGGCCTGCATCTTTTAACTTTGCTCCACTTTTGGTCATCCATACAACAATGAAGAAATAGGATTGGGAGAAAATAGGGGTGAGGGGTGTTTGGTGCGGGGGGATGCAGAGAGAGGATCATAAAAAATATAACTGGCCGAAAAACATGGGAAAAGGGAGGAATTCCACAAAAGATTCTGCTCAAGAGGTGGTTTTTTTGTTTTTTGTTTTGGTAGAATTTCAAATTTGTCAAGATTTTCTGATCAGCTCTTCTGCCAAAGGTATTCTCCCTATAGCCGCCACCCACTAAACTAGGAAGATTTTATAAAAGAATCATAATGCCTCCACTAAAACATGACAGTTCTAATGCCCTGATCCAAAGCTGTTCATGTCAGTGGAAAAGCTTTCCTTGATGTGAATAATCTTTGGATCAGGCCCTAAAATGATGTGTTGTTTCTTAGCGCTACCAATGACAGCTTCAGAAATCTGAGTGTCCAGACTCACCCTGGCCAAGAACAAGGGAGTAGTGAATTTGTTTTCTTTCAGGTCCTGACTACACTGGACTGCATTAGTCTCTCCCAAGAGGGTAGAGACATTTACACCAGGAACCTTACTGATATATAATCTATCTAGAGAGTCCAGCGTGATGGGCTGATCCACTCAGAAATGACTATGTATCCATGTCCTCTTTGCAAGATCAACAAGCAGCCACTAAGAATTTGATCTGACAATGCAATGATGCCTATGCTTTTTTTAATGGGTTGCCTGTGTTAACATATCACCTGACAGGGAGTTTCATGGGCAGAGTATACTATAACAATGCCTGCTCCATCTTTGCTCACCTATTCGCATTACGTATCCTTCATAAACACAGTATTAGAGTCTATATCTATTGCTCCAAACCAACAATTTAGTAAGGAAGCTGGAATGCAATAGAACTTCAGAATAGAAAAGGGAACACAGGAAATCTTTGCACAAAAGAAACTAAGGCAAATAATGGAGTGTTTCAGAAATAAGATTGGATTATGCCAAAGCTGGGGAACCTTTTTGGGGTTGGGGGCCGCTGACCCACAGAAAAATCAGTTGGGGCTGCACAAAAGTGAGAAGCAAAAGAAAAATCTCACCTCACTGACATGACCCCCCAACTGAGAAGCAGAAAGACACTCCTCAACTTCCCCTTGCACACCAGAACCTAGGGTGGCCTGGGCTAGTAGAGTTTGTAGGCTCCCCCTAAGTTCTGCTGTGGGGCCCAAAACGAGGGGTTCATTGTGTGGGCAGAGGCTGCTGGGAAGAGGACTTGGCGTGTGTGGTCTGGGAAGGAAGAAGGCTGCAGGAGTGGGCTGGAGGTTGTTGGGTCTCATGAGTGGTAGGATGCAAGGGGGCTGAATTGGAGGTAGGCTGCAGATGCAGGCTGGGGGTGAGGGATCTGGCAGAGTGCCCCAGGGATGAATATGGTTCCGTGTCCTCCTCCGCTCCCAGGCACTACCCCCTCCTGTACCTTTTGGCCATGATTACAGCCACTCAATCAGAGTGGTGGGGGAAAAGCCTGGAGGCAGTGCTTTGTTCCATTGTCGTTTCCCCAGCCAGGGGAGAGGATGTGGTACTGTGCTGAGTCGCATCCTAGGCAGAGCCCATGGGTTAGGTGCAGCCCCGGGCTTGCCTGACTCCAGCCTGCAAGGCTTGGGGCTCCCCAATGAAAGGAGAAGGGGAGCCCTGAGCCTTAGGGGCAGATCCATGGATTATGCCTTGAAGAAGCTGTAGAGAATTTTAGCATATACATGGAGTGCCTAGACAAGCCTATACATGGGATAATAGCAAACAGGAAAAAGGGCAGTATTACAATCAATTGTTGGATCCAAGATGTTTGCTCTGCTGAATATCTTGAGACACCAGAAAAAGCAGATGAAACCATTTGAATGTTCAGATTTAAGTGTGAAGAATTTAATCTTTTTATTAATCTAAAAGAAGTCTAAACTGAAAGATACTGTTTCTAAAACTATAGAAAAACGAAGTCTTGACCTTGGTATTTGATTTTATAGCAAGTCTAAAGATTTGGCTTCCATGTGCATGTTTAATCTTTTGTTAGAACTGCTGAGATTTCAATTTACATGCAGAATTATTTAGTATTAAACTGCACAGCATGTTACTAAGTGTGGCGTATGGGGGAAAGTTGTCTCGGCAAAAACTTTTGGATATTGTGAATCATTTTGAAAGTACTAGCAATGCAAAAATATCGATGCTCCTAAGCAGTCTAGATAGACTAAAGGACTATTGTTCAGTGAAAAGACACTAGACACAAATCACATCAAAATAGCAAGCCTTCAAAATTTTAGACTGAACAGACTAGCACCATTAACTCATTTTGCGACTGTAAGTATAGGTGTAGCATGCTTGTGATAAGATTTAATTATAACTATTATTTTAATGAGAACTTTATAGTATTTATTGATCATTTTAAAAATCCAACTTAAATAAAAATGTGATTTAAATTAAAAAAACTTTTTAATTTTTTTTAAAATATTGATTTTTATCCACCCTGATTGTCAGAGGGTTGTGAGAAGCCAACTGCACCTAAGTCATGCAGTGCTACAATAGCTGAAAGAAATGATACACAGATTAAGAAAGATGTCTTAGATACCAGGGTAGGATAATGGAATTACACAGATACAAGTACAAATATTTTATTTGACAGCTAACCATAAACCCTTACTTAAAATCTTAAGATCCTATTTTGTTGCATCCTCCCTCTCTTGTATTAGTTGTTACACTCATTTGTTGAGTTTTGTCTTCAAATGGATTATAAACTTCTCAGAGCAAGGATCCTATTATAAGTAGAGGGCCTATCATAATGGACCCCTGGCCTTGGTTTGTGCTTCTAAGCTTTGCTATAATACAAAAGAAAAAACACTAATATAAAAACTAGGAAAGCTTCACCAGCAGCTACTGTAATTCAGCACTGTTTTTTTATATGGTCAGCATCTTATTATGGCACTTATTTAAAATGGCTTTTGCAGTTTAGCAATTCAGATAATCTATCAAAGTCATCAAGGGAAATTCAGGCACCAGGCTATAATCTGAAATGCAGCTTCCTTCCTTTTGCATCAAATTGTCATCTTTAATCAGAATGGAGATAGAGGAGATAAAGAGCAGAACTTGGTTATCATGTGAAGGTAAATACAATTATTCATTCAGTATTTGCTAATTGCCAAAACGATTCCGCAATCTAAAGTGATAGTGTCAAGTTGGGAAGTCTTTTTTCAGTAATAGCACAGATGAAAACTTAATTGTTGATATTGAATAAAATCATTAAGCTGCAACAAGCCAAGAGTCTACATCTATTACACTGGCTGTACTAGGAAGTGCACAGTACTCAATAAATTGGTGGCATGAAGGGAAAATATTTTATATGGTGAAGAAGCTTTGTTTAATGGAACTTTCACTTGACTTGGGGAATGTATGGCCTATGTAACCCCGCAAACATGTTAGTTAGTTCTTATAAGTTGTTGTCATACATGGAGCATCCTGACATCAAGAGAACCGATCAGTTCAGGAGTATTAACTCTGACACTGTTAGGTTTCTGTCTCAGTAGGGTTAAGGTCAGGATCATGTGTCATTGGTTGAGCGCATTATCTCTCTTTGCGTTTTGAATTAGACATTTCGCTGTTCTATATTTATTCACATATTTGATCT